CCATCATTGAAAATGACACATGGTGCATCACCAACCGTCCTCATGAGAGAGACATTGTAGGTTGCCATATCGTCCTTTGCAACAAATACAAAGCAGATAACACTTTTGAAAGACAAAAGGCAAGATTACTAGCAAAAGGTTACACTTAATACCCTGGAATCGACTTTCATGAAACCTTTGCACCAGTTGCAAGGATCAACTCCATTCGAACTGTACTGGCCATTGCTGCCCAACAACATTTACTCATCAACCAATTGGATGTGAAAACAGTGTTCCTTAATTAATGGAAATGCAGACCAGGAGATTTTCATGCAGCTTCCAGACCAGATCAAAATAATCCTAGAAGATATAATTAAAAACTCAATGGGACAGACTTGAACCAAAGCAGAACAAATGCTGCAATCTATCCAAGAAGGCAACAAAGTCTGTCATCTTAACAAGGCCATCTATGTTCTACGACAAGCAAGTCGACTATGGTATAAATGAGTGGATGATGAACTCAAACAACTAGGTTTAATTCCTGAGAGAGATCTTTATCTCTCTTATGACTAAATAGTTGACTAACCAAAAGAATCATCTTGACATCTCATCAGATTGTCTGAATTTTTAATCTCCATTGGAGGAGAATTTTAGTATAAATAGATGATTCGTGCCAAACTAGGAGTGCATACTACAAGGAACACCATATAAAGTAAACGCCATAATTTATTTATTTGTGCTCCCATACGTCCCCATATTATCGAATGGATATAGTTGAAAGATGATACTTTGTATTCTATAGAAGTATTTTGATATAATCATTAGAGAGGTTGAGGCGCACGTTTTAAACGTGTAAACGTGTACGTGTGACGTTCGGCGCCGCTTTCCCGTAAGCCTAAAAGTTTGACAATGGTGTTTGGATAGTCGGTGGAATCACGCTCGACATTCCAAACACCTTCGTCAAACTTTTAGGCTTAAGGGAAAGCGGCGCCGAACGTCACACGTACACGTTTAAAACGTGCGCCTCAACCTCTCTATTATTGTAAACTCCCTCTCATATAAATGATAAGATATAGCTAGAGATAATGTCCATATCTTCTTATATGTAGTTAGATTTATTTCATTAAATGTTTACTTGTTATTGTTAATCCGGATACTCTTTTCTTCTTTTTCTTTTTTTGACATCCTATCGACTTACCCCCGCATCTCCCCACTTGCTAAATTTGAAACCCTCCTTTATTAGAGTTATCTTATAAATTTTAAACATGTAATAGGGTGTGAATTTCATTTGATTCTGATGAAACCATGTTGTTGTTGATTTTACCTTGCTTCTTTGCAGACATACTAAGGTGACATTATTCAACACTTTATTCAGTTGGGTAACCAACTGCCAAGTGTTGAATAATGTCACCTTAGTGTGTCTGTAAAGAAGCAAAGTGAATTTCATTCCTATCTGGTGTCAGGTCCTGATTTTATGATCTTTGATCTCAACACAGAATTAAGCCATCCTAAGACTCAGTGAGCAGTTCTTATCACACAATAGCTGACTAAGCAGTATATATAGATATCATATACCCCCGGTTCCTCACATTAACATAAGTTGACTGTAATATATTTAAACATTTTCATAAACTATCCCATTAAATATTTTTTACCCAAGGAGCATGTTCGCATACTTAATATATAAAATTTTCATTTTCTAATTGAAATTGTAATTTTTTCCAGTTGACAAAATTATTAGTGTCACTAAATTGTCCTGAGATAACAAAGATCTTAACCTGTCTGTAATTATTTTTAATTTTGAAAAAAGTCATTCACATGCTACCAGTGTTAACAATAAAATTAAATTTGTAAGCCATTTACAAATTGCTATGTTTTAGAATATAAATTATAATTTGACAAAACTTTAAAATAGCAATTTTTGCAATTGTTTCAAGTAGGATTCCCTTCTTCCCTTTCTTCAATATTCATTTTCAATTGTACCATTTACAAATTAAATCTCTTAATTCATCTCCTAAATTAGCTACTGTTGCAGTATTACAATATTGCAAAATCAGCAAGCTTACACTTATAATTTTCTAAGCAACCAATTAAATTAAAATTTTTTGGGTCAAAAACAATTATCTAATTTGATTATTATTTGAAAATTTTTTCAAATAATATTTTATGTCCTTCAAATTGTTTTTCAATTTCAGCTATGCTTGTGTCCATGACAATATTAAAAACATTTATTTTAAAATGTTCTAAACTGCTTTGGATAACAATTCTCTCAAATTTTCATCAAACATTTGTTGGGTTGCAATTTGAAAAAATTGTAGACCTATAAATTCCCATTGTCATCAGTCTGTCTTAATCTCAAGAATGGAGTTAGATAGATGAAATCTGAGACCAGATAAGGAAACCTTAGTGACAGGTTAATTAACTATATATGAATTTCCGATGCAAACTGGAAGTCATGTTATTTCAATTCAAAAATTTTCACCTGAAACGTGTTACATAGATGACTGACATGACTATTGTTGAAGAAAAAGTATGATGTATAGGGGCATGCCACTACTAGTTTGAGATGGAAAGCATAATTTTAAATTAAATAAATTAAAAATATGATTAAAAATTGCATCCTGCCATTGTGACAATGTCACAATAAATATTTGCTCATTATAATTAGAATATTTCATTATAAATTATCACTTTTGTTTTATAAAATTTGCAAATATTTCATTATAAAATCTTGATAAAAGCATTATTTTTTACTACACTAACATTCCATTGTCTTTCTAGATCAGGGGTCGCCAAAGTGGTCGATATCGATCCCCAGGGGTCAATGTAACATTATTAGGGGGGGGGTCAATGCGGCTAAGGGGTCGATTGGGGGTAGATGGAAAAACTGAAACTAAAAATCACAAATTTAACTATACATATTATTGTTTCAATGAATTTAATAGTACAGCTACCCGTTAACATGTAAAATGGCTACAGATCAAGTCATACAGGCCAGACAGAAATTGCCGAGTCCATGCTCCGGTTCTTACTTACATAGCACGTCAAGCATTCGTAGCATTTATAAGCTTGTATTCTTAGTACGCTGACTAGCAACTCTATAGTTGTTTTTAGACACTGTTCATTTAATTTTAGTATTCCACATAAATACTGTAAAGCGTTCTATAAAGTGAATAAAAATAACTACTACAAGTTTCTAACCAAGTTTCGGTTGCTACTGCTTCACTAGTGACCCAACCACTGCTCACTAGCTGCCCCTTAATGCCCGCTTAATTTTCAAAATTATGCTCCGAAAAAACCATTTTTTTTAAAAATGTTTTTTTAATTTTTGATTTTAAATATTCATGTTGGAGTGTGAAAGTAAATCAGGAAAAAAAAAATTAGAAAATTAGTCCGGTTGACGTTTGCAGGACTTCTACAAGTAAGTTTTGACGATGGTTGGGGTTCCTGGAATGAAGCAATTAGAACAAAAGATTTTTCATTACTACTATCTCTCAAGAGGGTAGATCGACTTAACTGTTGTAAACCAATTAGAAGATTTTGTATATAACTACGAAACTTGAATAGGTCAAGACAAAGGTTATAGAAGGTAAGCAAATTTTATTTGATAAAAATACTGGCATAGAAAGCTAAATAAGATTTTTTTTCGAAACGAATTTTGTTCACTGGAATCAGACTCCAGCGCAGGCATTGAGTCCCCATTGTTTTTCTTAGATCCAATAAACTATGCACTGTGGTTTTTGGTTGTGTATCTATTTGTTAAAAGAAAAAAATAAGTATATGCCTAAAGCAGCAACGCCTCATTTATTGGATTTAATATCCAAAAAAGCTAGGATTGATGAAGCAGTGGCAAGCTAAACTCAGTTAGAAAATTGTAGTTACTTTTTTCGCCTTGATATGATGTAACTTCATTTCTTTTATTATTTATAGAATCTTAATTCTGCAATGGCAGCTTCAGTTTCTAAAAGAAAATTTTGACAATATTCATTGGATTATTTAAAGTTTGGATTTATTCCTTCTCCAACAAATGAAGCGATACCTATGTGTCTTCTTTGTGAGAAAACTTTTATAAATGATGCAATAAAACCAGCTAAAATGAAAGACAATCTTGAGACAGTTCATTCTGATAAAAAGGATAAAGATCTTGATTTTTTTTAAAACACTTAAAAGAAAATTTGCAACACGACTAAATATAAAAAGTTTCATGAAGCCGTCTGCCTCTTCTATAATTGATATTGAAGGAGGCTTAATCGCTTCATACAAGATTTCGCTTAATATAGTAAAAAAGGGAAAACCAACACAACTGCAGAAGATATAGTTGTACCTGCAATTAAAGATGTCATTGAAAATGTAATGAAAAAAGACTCCACCAGACTTGTACACCAGATGTGGACTGACACACCTCCCTCACTACCTCTCCCAGCATCTTGTTGTAAGCTGGCACCTGCTACTCTGTCGTCTTACCTTTTTGCACCCTGTATGTCGCTCCATCATGCAAGGTCATGAAGATTTATTACACCTGTCTACACTGATATTGCCTACTGCTCATACTGTTATATTGGCATCTTCACCTTTATATTGTATAGTTTTAGGCATAGTTTTAAGTTTACCTTACTTTGTATAATTTTTAATATACCACCTACTTTAGATAATACCTACTGATGATGCTTACTACTCATACCATTACAGTGGTTGTCTTCAATTTTTATATTGTATAACTTTAACCTTATTTTTAACTTAACTGTTACCTTGTATAATTCTATTATGGCATTACCTTTAACTAATACCAACTGATGAGGAACTGTTTTCTATTGGGAAAATAGTCCAAAATGCATTTTGGGTTTTCGTTTTCACACTTATGTAGTAACTTTTTGAGTTTATTAAATTGTTTTCACTTTGATCCCTGAGTGTTTGTGCCCATCATTGGTCTGATAAGCCCTCACTATTATCTGCCTCACGGTTGTGGATAATTTAATTTTATTGATATAAAAAAAACTCCATTGATGTTTTAAAGTGCTTACCATTAAGTGCGAATTCAGTAACACGGCATATTGACGAAATGGCCGAAAACGTCGAAAATACAGTAGTTTCAGAGCTCAAAAATTGCAAATTTTCTATTCAACTTGATGAGTCTGTTTTTGGTGTTTCTTCTCTTCTTATGGCTTACGTCAGATATTTTAGTGAAAGTAAATGTCAAATCATTGATGAATTTTTATTTATCTTGAATATGATGGAAAAGGTCTGACAATATATCAGAATTTAGAAGAATATTTGAATAAATATGACATTCCAATTAGCAATATAATAGCAGTAGCCACAGATGGCGCACCTGCTATGGTAGGCCGTTACCGAGGTTTTGCAACTTTTCTTAAAGAAAAAGTCCCTGGAATATGTACTGTTCACTGTGTTGCATAGAAACCACCTTGTAGCAAAATATCTCAGTCCAGATTTGTATAATGCTTTACAGTTTTGTATTAAATCTATTAATCAAATTAGAGCCCACCCTCTTAAATTGAGATTGTTTTCCAAACTTTGTGAAAAAAATGACAAATTAACAAACCAGTTACTTTTACACACCGAAGTCAGATGGTTGTCTAGAGGTGCATGTTTACAAAGACTTGTTGAGTTATTTGATTCTACGATAGGATTTCTTACCGAAATAAATTCTGTTCTGAGTGATGAACCACATTTTTTACGTAGAGGACTTATTTGTAAAATTCAATGACGTTCAAACAAGACTCCAAGGTGAAGATGTCACAATTATTCAAGCTCGGACAATTCTTTTAGGCTTCCAAGTTAAATTAAACTTGTTTAAATCTTCATTGTTACATAAAGATTTTCAGTACTTTCCAAATCTAAGAAAATTGCAAAATAATAGATGAAGACTTGGAAATATATACAAATCATCTTCAAAAATTGAGTGATGATTTTAAAGTATGTTTTAAAGATTTAGAAAATATTGATATCCCAGAATGGATTATGGCGCCATTTTCCACTCAGATTGAAAACGTTGACATCAACCTGCAAGATGAACTTATAAAATTATTAGAAGACCTTGAAGCAAAAATGCTTCTCAAAAATTTAACTTTAAGCAATTATTGGACGAATGTAAACATAACAAAAAAAAAAAAATACACCAAACTTTGTGATATTGTAAATCCCCTTTTGTTGGCACTTCCAAGTTCATATATGGTCGAAGCTGGTTTTAGCCACGTTAATTCCATCTTAAACAAACAGAGAAATAAGTTAAATGTGGAACTTCGAGGCAATTTAAGACTAAAGCTAACAAATTTTGACCCAAATATTGCTAATCTTGCGAAGGAATATCAAGCTCACCCATCTCACTGATTGTGAGTTACAAATAAATGTAAAGTATGTAAAATTAAAGGAAATGCATAGTAAAATTGTTTCTCTTTCTTTCATGTTTTTTTTTCTTTTTTTTTTGTTCATACAATTGCACTTGTAATAAAACTTAACTGTAGGTAAATGTGAGATTTTGAAAAGTTGTTGGGGATCGACGGTTAAAAAAGTTTGGCGACCCCTGTTCTAGATTATTCTATTTTGAGTTGGTTTGTGAGCCTTAAAATATTTGCTTGTTATAGCTATAAACTTTTCTTTGTAAATGAAAAATTAGCAAAATAAATTACAATACTAAAACAAACAATGTTTAACTTATACTACTAAAAAAATTGAAATAGGATACTTATTTTCAAAACTTTATATCAAATTATCATCAGATATAAATATAAATATAGGCATTTAAAATTTATGTTTAAAGAAACTAAGTAAGGACTAATGTTAGAAATCTGTAAAATTTAAAACGTAATAACTTTTTTATTTGTAACGTAATCAGAGAAATTTTACTTTTATTTAAAACTTTGTTTTTTTAAAATATATTTAAGTCTTAATAATTATAACATTCAGGTTTTGTTCCATTCCTTTCAAAGTTTCTTTTGAATGTTCTCCAGAAGATTTTTGACAATATTTCCTTCAATCATTAACTGTTCTTTTCAATTTTAGAGAAAATCTTTAATGTCTTTTGCTGTTTGTTCTCTTTTGTTTAGTTTACTTTACTTTTTACAAAGGACCAAAATTTTTCTATTGGTCAGCATTGTGGTATGTCTGCATCTAGGTACAAAATTGAATCAGTCTGTTCCAGCCAACTTAAGAGGTGGAACAGCATGAAGTCAATCTGTGGATTTTGCATGGTATATTGTTGTCAAATTGTGCCAAAACAAAGTACAGTGGTGCCTCATATAACGTACGCCTCGAATAACGGACGCTGCGAATAACGGACTTTCTGTTTGACCGTTACGTGACTCGAGCAACGGACTTGCTGCGAACAACGGACTTTCCGTTCGGCAGTTACGTGAGACGAACAATGGACTTTTTCGAACAAGTGCGTATGATGTTTCCACTCTTTTGCCGTTGCCAAGGACAATCTGCTATTTTTAGGATATATTAGTATTATTATAATGTATTATTAGTATATCTGAAGTAGAAATGTAATGTAATATATGTTGATGATTTAAATAAACATTAAATGTATTGTAATACAGTATATGTTGACGATTCAAATAAATGAAATGTAATTGTATAGATGCCGAGGTGGCAGGACGAAAAGAGGTTGTAAAAAACAAACGGAGCGAGAGTAGCTAGTAGAAGTGTTTAGTGATCTTAATTAATAATGAATTATTCGTATCATATAATCTGGCAAGTTAAGTCATTTATAATGCATCATGGCTTCTAAAAAAACAGAAAGGTGATTTCAATTGAAACAAAGCAAGAAATCATCAGGAGTGAAAGTTGACAACAACTTTCTTGTCGAATGGAGAGAGGTTCAGGAGTTTACCAACACTCATTATCCAAACAGAGCTGAGACCAACAGGATCAATGATCTCTACAATGACACCTTTGTCCGTCATTTCCGACAGGTGTTAAAGAAGAAAAAGAAACAGACCACCTTGGTCATGTTTTTCAAGAAGCCAGCGGGCAAAAAACAAAGGATGGAACAAGAGAAGTTGACCCTGCAAGTTCCGGTAACCTCTCCTGAATCTGACTCCAATTAAAAAAACAATAAAAAGAGACCCGCTGCAATGTGTAAAAAGTCTGTATCTGTATGAATGTGTAAAGAAAGTGTTCTTCCACCTCCTCCTCACAACATCTGACTACCTGGCATAATTGGTGTCTGCTCCATTTTCATTTTTTATGGTACAGTACGGTTATTTTATGCTGCGGAACAAATTATATGTTTTAACATGTATTTCTATGGGAAAATGCGTTTCGTATAACGAACGTTTCACTTAACAGACATAAACCTGGAACGGATTAAGTACGTTGTACGAGGCACCACTGTATATGGTCATCATGACTTCTTAAAAAAGGAAGACAACATTTTTTTTAAACATTCATTACTATGAATTTCAGCACTAATATTTCCTTTTATCACAAATGACGAACTTTTCAATCCACACTGCAAATTGCTTGCCATATCAGATATTTTGAGTCAAACTTTTTAATACTGACTGATGTTTGAGATTCTGGAAGAACTTCAAATGCTGTATAATAGCATGAGCCTTGGAAGTGTTCAGAAGTCAGCCTTCATGTATGTTTCATCATCTAAAACCAAACAAGCATTCATCTTGCCAATTAAAGAATACAATTTTTGAGTTCTGGTTTTAATTGTCTTTTGTTTTTCAATCACTTTAGGTATTTTTTAATTTTAATATGATCTCATACTTCTATGCTGCTTAACACTGAACTATAGTTTTGCATTTTTTTGCAACATCTATCAAGACATAATCAATGTCATTTCCAAAAGTGTAGTATTTTCTTGTTGAGTTTTGAGATACAAGCACCATTTTTTCCACCAGAAGCTGACTTTAAAGAAATGGTCAAAGTCAATTTAACATTCATCCACCATACTTTGGAAATTTGTAGCTTTTTAACTATGGTTTTTCAGGATTTTCCAGTCATTTGTCAACAATTGACAAATCCATTTTTTTGACAATCCATTTCATTCACCGTTTAAAGTTATAGCTAGCACAGTTCCTTTAATAAAACTGATAACAGAATTCTTATTCTAATTATTTGAAACAGTTTCTATGGCAACAAACAAAATTATAAATAACAAACAAAAAGATTAATGTCTTTTAAATTTTACAAATTTCTATCATTACAGTCCTTATCTATTTAATCTTTCAATTTGTGTTATCATCATCATCATGAATACATTTTTGTCATCATTTACAAATTTTAAAATCAAATTCATTTAATGNTGATAATTTGAATTAAAAATTTTAGCTACATTATACACTGTTATAATATCTCAATTTTGAATTATAAAATTTAGTAGGTAAAAAAGGCTTCAATGCATTCATTTTAGATTGAAGATGACGATTATTAATTTTAAAAATTTTAATGCCATTTTCATAATTTATAATGGAAAGCTATGAAGATCATAAGTTAGGTTCATAAATTACCTAAATTACTTTAACAATTTATGTTAAAGTATCCAAGTACCATTTTTGGTTCTAAGCTTAGTTTCAGTCATCACATTCAATTCTTAATCAAAAATTTGATAATTAGGAGAGGGATGTTTCCAGTAGTTCTAAATTTCTTCCAGTAGTTCTAAATTATTTAATTAAAAATCATGTTTTTAATTCCAGAACTTGCCTGTAATACGTTCACAACAGGAAACGGATTTAATTTCTACATCCGAATCAACGACATAGCGTAAACACGTGGATATTAAATATTCACCGACAGATGTCACTACTTTTCACGAATGCTGCCACTCACGAAAAAAAAAATCAGACTATAGTCAAATAAAATATTCAATGTTATAGTTATATAAATGTACAAATAATTTAATAAAATACATCCAAACTTTTGAATATTATTAATAACGAACGGTTAATAATATATTTTATTTAATAAAGGCTAATATCCATGTTAACGCTAGAGGTCGTTGGAGAACCCACAGGCAAAATGTCAAGCAGTATACTTTGAATCTTAAGAAAGTTTTGTTAATTTTAAAGTTTG